TTATTGCCATCTCCAGTGTACATATTTTACTACAGTTAAACTGCCCAATAATGTATATCATAACTCAAGGCTCAGATTATTCCTAATATTCAAGAGTCAAGCTAAACAATACGACTCCAACCTCTGCAAAGCATTGGGATGTTTATCATCTTACCTGGAAGCATTTTATTGAAAAAGGAACGAACACAGAGAAGAAGTCAATTATTTCTTACAACTAGATGTAGCTCTACTTAGAATGTAAACACAAAAGAAAATGAAGGAGAAATGTGTAGAGTATCCTCCATCTACTACAAATTGTAGAGCAAGAGGTGGTCAAGAAATATATGAGAATCTATTGGGAAATCTTCAGTACATAAAAATTGTCTGTTGTTTCTAACAATAAAAATCGACTTTCCCATATGTAGATCAAATTGTTGAAGGAAGTTTTGGGTAATCAGGAGTAACCTATTGCATGAAACAACTGTGAGCCAAATCAGTGGTTCATAGGCAAATTGTTCTTTGGGTTGCTTTGAGTTTTCCAGGCTGTATGGGCATTTTCCAGAAGAATTATCTTCTGACGTTTTGCTCACATCTATGGCAGGCATCCTAAGGATGCTTGTCATAATTGTGGGTGGGGTGAACCATCAGGAGAAAATGCTTCTGGAACATGGCCATGCAGCATGGAAAATTCACAGCAACCCAGTGATTCCGGCCATGAAAGCCTTCGTCAACACATTGAACACCTCTACGGGCAGAAACTGTTCCAAGACACACTGAGGATGCCTGCCATAGATGTAGGCAAAACATCAGGAGAGAATGCTTCTGGAACATTTATTATTTATTTATTTGAAGCATTTATATCCCGTCCTTTTCACTCCCGAAGAGGGACTCAGGGCGGCTTAAAACAGGCAACCACTAGATGCCAAACAATACATTAAAATACACAGTTACAATTACAACAGCAATTAAAAACAATTTGGCTATATATAGCCGTACAGCCCGGAAAACTCCCAGCAACCCAGTGATTCTGGTCATGAAAGCCTTTGACAAGATACTCTGTTCTTTAATTCTCTCTATTGTGCATCTTGTTTTGATTGGTAGACATTGGGACTCTCACAATGAAATCAACTTGATCTGCCAAGTGTGAAGTCTTCCCAACCTCCTATGGGAAGTCCAGAAGGCAGCATTTACTTAGGCCCCTTCCACACTGCCCTATATCCCAAGATCTGATCCCAGATTATCTGCTTTAAACTGGATTATATGAGTTCCCACTGCTAGATAACTTGGGATAAACAGATAATCTGGAATCAGATCCTGGATTATAGGGGCAGTATGGAAGGGGCCTAACACTCATCACATTCATTCCACCGGCAAGCCACTCCTACCAACTATACCAAAACTCGTTATATGTCCTAGCCAACTCTCTACGCTAAGGACACATTCATTCTTGATGCTGGCAAAACCCAGGACACTTAAGCAGTAACCCGTCTGTAACTCCCCTATAACAGAACAGGTACAGAGAGAGAGGACTGATGCAGGGCAGCGAAAATTCCCATACAGCCACCTCAAAAGTAGCATCCAGCTTCCGTCTACCACACTGTAGAATGAATGCAGTTTGACACAACTTTAACTGCCATGGTTCAATGCAATGGAATCACAGGAGCCGTTGTTTTACAACCTCTCCAGTCTTCACTGCCAAACAGTGTTACCAAACTACATGGTAGCTTTGAACTGTAGTAGTTATAGCTGTGTCAAACTATACTCCAAATGCTTCACAGTACAGGTTGAGCATCTCTTACCTAGAATTCCAAAACAATCCAAAACTGAGAGGGTTGAGAAAGTGGCACCTCTGCTTTTTGATGTTTCAATGTGTGCAGAGTTTCGCTTCAGGCACAAAATTACTTTCAAAGGATCTCTCTATATATAACCTTTATATTCAAGCAGGCTGTCAAAGATTAAGCCATTTAAGATCTAGTCAGGGTATGCTGCGGATTTTAACTTTGAATGTTTTGATGGATTTTAACTGTTAAAAAATCAGTGCTGTTTGCATTTAATTCTACTTTAATGGTTGCATATTTGTATATTTTAAATTGTATACTAATGCTTTTATGTCAAGCTGCTTTGAGTCCCCTTTGGGAGAGATTGATTTATTTATGTTGTATTCAAAGCATTGCATAAATAAGTATAAAACTGAACAAATAAAGGGGGCACAAGCAGCTAAATTATTTTAGAGCAAATATGGGCAACAGCAACCGCATTGTCTATAGCTTTAAGCAGTTCTTCCTCTGCGCATGAGGCAGGGCATTGTAGGCTAGCATACAGATGTAGAGTTGTTTGTTCTGCTCCACAATCGCACAAGGTGGAGGATTCTTCTCAGCAGTGCCAATTTGCTAGGTTTTCTTTTGATCTCCCAACACCACTTCCGAGACTGTTTAGTGACTTCCCAAGTTGCCCTGGAGGAAGACCCTCATGAGGGACCATCCAGTTGGAACTGCCTGATTTTGCTGTCCACATGGATAGCCTTGCTTTTGCTGGAGGAGTATTTAGAGGAGTGGTGGTTCTCTAAATGTGGGGTTGCATTTGGAAGTTTCAAGTAGTACAACAGGCAGCAGCCAGGTTGCTCTCCGGAACAGCATACATGGAATATACAACTCCCCTGTTATGTCAGCTTCACTAGCTGTCAGTCTGCTACCAAGCAGAATTTAAAGTGATGGCTTTAGCCTATAAAGCCCTAAACGATTCTGGCCCAGCTTACCTGTTTGAATGTATCTCCCCGTATAAATCAGCTCAGATCTTCTGGGGAGGCCCTGTTCTCGGTCCCATCCTACCTTCTCAGTGGTGGCCCCTCAGATATGGAACTCCCTTCTCAGTAACATTAGACCAGCTCCCTCCCCCCTGGCTGTGGAACCAAGCATTTGGGGAGTAGTACAATCACAGTGCAATATGCAACCATGGAGTTAATATAAACAAATCGGCTTGGACTATGATTACGGGATTAGGTGCAATGCTTTTAACAGTTTATTTACATGTACTTATATGGTTTGTTTTATGATTTTAATGCTTAACGTGTTGTTTATTTTGTATGTCTCTATGTTGCAATGTGGCACTGAATTATTGCCAAACTGGAAGCAGCACTGTGTCCCCTTCGGGGTGGAGATAGAGCAGGGTAAAAGTGCAGTAAATTTATTTATTTCCAGTATTTTTGCCCTGTTCAATCTCTACTCTCGAAGGGGGACTCCGGGCAGCTTACATTTAGCAACAATTCAATGCCAGTACATATAACAAAGCAATATAACAACAATTAAAACAATAAATAAAGCATTAATTAAAACAATAAAAAAAGTATTAACTGCTGTATCATCATTCCTTTAGAATTCCATATCCAAAGTGCTATTTATGCTTGCTGTCCAAAAGCCTGGTCCCAAAACCACGACTTCAATTTCTTCCTAAAAGACAGGCGGGATGAAGCTGATCTTACCTCGCTTACCTCTGTGGGAAGCGAGTTCCACAGGCGGGGGCCACAGATGAGAAGGCCCTGTCTCACATCCCCGCCAGACATATTTGTGACGCTGGCGGGAGCAGGAGCAGGGCCTCCCCGGATTATCTTAAACTGCGAGGCGGGACATAGCAGGAGATGCGTTCGGACAAGTAAGCTGGGCCAGTACTGTATAGAGCTTTATAGGTCAAACCCAGCACTTTGAATTGATTTCGGAAGTGGACCGGCAGCCAGTGGAGCTGGCACACCAAAGGGCTGGTATGCTCCCTGTATATCCCTAAATAAAATTCTCATGAAACTTTTTCTTGATTTAAGACTACTGGGAGGAGGTTAATAGCCATACAGTGGGTGGCTTTCTCTCGCAATTGGTGGCAACTTCCCTTCGCACATTGGGGGGGGGGGGGGAAGCAATGCCAGAGATAAAGCAGGGTATAAATATTATAATCATCATATCAGATACGGGCAAACTTTGGCCCTCCAGTTGTTTTGGATTTTAACTCCCACAATTCCTAACAGTCCAACATTTATTTATTTATGGCATTTATATGCTGCCCTTCTCACCCCGAAAGGGACTCAGAGCGGCTTACAAGGTATATATTACATACAATATATTATAGTATTAGCATAGTATTATATTAGCATTAAACACTGCTATATTGCACTATACCACTATATCGTAATATTATTAGTAATATTACAAGTAATGTAAATATATCATTATAATATCTTACTATTATTATTATATTGCATTATAATATTATATGTATATACTAGGCTTGGGCAATCCATGGTTCTAAATGGTTCTAAAGTACTTACAAAACTAAAGTTCTGGTGGTGAAAATTTCAGAACTCTAACAAAACTCACAAAATTTCATAATAAATGGCAGTTCCTAATTGGTTCTGTCATTAAAATCACCAATAATGAAATAATAATTAAATTTTGAAAGGTTTGTTAGAGTTCTGAAATTTTCACCACCAGAACTTTAGTTTTGTAAGTACTTTAGAACCATGAATTGCCCAAGCCTAGTATATACAATATATAATATTATATTATTAGCATAGCGCAGGAGACAAGGTGGAACTGTCCCCTGGCCCCCTCTCTCTTCACTCTGGCCCAGAGTGACGGTGCTGGGGGGAGGGGTCTCCAGCTGATAAAACACCTGGAGGGCCGAAGTTTGCCCATGCCTGACCTGGTATAATATGCAATTCGTGTTTAGACTTGGGCTCCATCCCCAAGAGATCTCATTATGTGCGTTTATGCAAATATAGAGATTCCAAAATCCGACAGAAAAACAAAAACAAAACAAAGTTCAACTCTTCTGGCCCCAAACATTTCTGATAAAGATGTCCCCACCACGACTAGACAGCACTGTCCAAGGGCTTCCTCTCTTGGTCTTTCTGGACGCCCCCCCCCCCTATTGAAAAAGTAATCCAGGCCTCCTCCTCCTCCTGCGCCCCCTCCCACTTCCTGACCCCGTGACGTCAGCAGGCCCCGCTTTCCCTCAGCGCGCGCCCCCTTCCTCACCCATCTCGGCGGCTGAGTGCAGGGGCTCCCCCTGGGCGGCCCCTTTCCTTGCCTCCTTCCTTCCTTCCCTCACAGCGACCACCTCCGTCGGCGCCTCCGTCGCCTCATTCCAAGGCTCTGGCCTCAGGTGCCCGCTTCACGCAGCTCCTTCCTGAGGCCCCGGGCGAGAGGCGGCAGCTCCTCCTCCTCCCCTCATCCCCGCCTCCCGTCGGTCTCTTCTACTTCTTCCTTCCTTCTGCGCTCAGATTTGCTAGACGAGCCTCTCTCGCGCTCGCTCGCGCATGCGCACTGACGGTGGTCAACCCCGCGCTCACTCCCCCCTCCCCGGGGAAAGAATCCGCATGCGTACTCGCGAAGTGGGCCGTCCTTCCGCAACTGAGGGTAGATGCGCCATCCAGCCAATCAGGAGCGCCGCTGTCTCTGTTGCTTTCAGTCCTCACGTGGCCACAATAATCAAGAAGCCCTTCCACACAGCCATATCACCCAGAATATCAAGGCAGTTTTGACTATTAGCCGTCTTGCTGTGGCCCACATGGGGGTTCTGTGTGAGAGGTTTGGCCCAATTCTATCGTTGGTGGGGTTCAGAATGCTTTGTGATTTTAGGTGAACTATAAATCCAAGCAATTACAACCAGGCCTGTAGCGAGGGGGTGGTTTTAGGGGTTCAACCCCCCCCCCCCAAAATATTTCAGATTTTTTTAAAAAACCTGGTTTACTCATGAATTTTAACTGGTTAACCAAATCCCCATGCTAAGTCTATGAGATGCAAAAAAATAAGAGTCCCTCCAGAACTGCAAGCACTATCTCAGGCAAATATTGACAATTTATTCACACTGTCATTACTTGCAGCAATAGCCGATGTAGTGAAGCAACCAAGTTGTGTGTGTGTGTGTTGAATGTTCTCATTAAGGAGGCCAGACTTGGTGGAGGTGGTTGACAGGGGCGGAGCTGCAGGCTATTGAAGGCTGCTCTGCCCCCTGCTGTGCTCTTTGCTTCAGCGTGAGCTAGGAGGCAGGTTTCAACCCCCCCCCCCCCCCCCCCACAAATTTTCAACCCCCCCCCAATTTTCAAACCCTCCCCAAAAAATTTTTTTGGCTACAGTTCAATTAATGAATGAAACAATTTGGCTTCTACAGTCCTCATTTGCTCAAAATGAGCCGCATTATCACGGGGTGTCTGCGCCCTACACCACTGGAGAAATTACACTGCTTAGCCGGTATTGCACCACCTGACATCCGCCGGGAAGTAGCAGCCAATAGTGAAAGGACCAAAGCAGAGACATCTCCAGCTCATCCCTTGTTTGGGTATCAGCCAGCACGTCAACGACTTAAATCTAGAAATAGTTTTCTAAGATCTACAGAGACACTCGCTGGAACACCTCAGCAAGCGAGAGTCCAAAAGTGGCAGGCTCAAACCCAGAACCTCAACCAATGGCTGATACCAAATGAGAGACTCCCCACTGGGCACACAGAGGACTGAGCGACTTGGAAGGCGCTGAACAGACTGCGCTCTGGCACCACGAGATGCAGAGCCAACCTTCAGAAATGGGGCTACAAAGTGGAATCCTCGACATGCGAGTGTGGAGAAGAGCAAACCACTGACCACCTGCTGCAATGCAACCTGAGCCCTGCTACATGCACAATGGAGGACCTCCTTGCAGCAACACCAGAGGCACTCCAAGTGGCCAGATACAGGTCAAAGGACATTTAACCAACTACCAGACTCACAAGTTTTGTATTTTGTCTGTTTTTTGCTTTGTTCTATTAGAAATGTAATATAATGGACTGGTTGCTCTCTGACACGACAAATAATAAGGTGAGTATTCTTGTAGAGTTTGGTCCAGATCCATCATTGTTTGAGTCCACAATGATCTCTGGATGTGGGTGAACTACAACAAGATATAGTCGGAGCATCATCCCTTAATTCAGAAAAAACAGTTTGAGCATCTCATTTCCAAACTGCTTGGGACCAGAAGTGGCTTTTAGGGCTAATTGCATCTCTCTCTCCCCCCCCCCCCCCCCCCCCCCCCCCAATTTCAGAATACTCCCATGAATATAATTAAGATGGGTCAGAAGTCTAAACACAACATTCATTTATAATTCATATGCAACTGTCTTATACACATAGTCTGGTAATCACTTTATATATTAACATTATTAATGATTTTGAGCATGAAATAAAGATGGCGTACACTGAACCATCAGTGCCACTGTCTCATCCACTCATGTGGATAATTTTGGATTTTGTGATTCCGGATAAAAGATGCTCAACTTGTACTGAAAGATTTGGAACCTTATTCCTAGCATAATTTTCAGAAAGTCCATTTAACTTCATACATGCAGCACACGGGCACAACTGTTAAGGCTGTTATGTATAATACGATGATATTTTGTAGAACTGTAGAAAATTATATATACCTTCATGCATGTAGCATGAAGCCTCGCTGCTGCATTTTTTTTCACCACACAAAAGTTGCACACCCTTTTTTTTCAAAAAAGGCAGAGAACAGTGCAACTATTAATTGCTGAAATACCGTAACAGTTTCATTATAGTTTTATTTACACCTCTCTACTCAATATTTTGTTTTAGGAGCTGCTCTTGACTTTTCTTGATGTAGAATGCTAATCTGGGATTTCTGGAAGCTAGAGGAAGATATGAACATTTAAATTCCTTTTTAAAATTCAGTGACGAACCTTCAACAAGGTAGATGTTCACTTAACGTCTTCCCTGTCTTTTATCAGTATGAGTAATTTAGAAAGATCCCAGTTTATTAAAACGTAAGAAAGACAAAATACACACAGGGAAGAAGAAACGGAACAAATTAAAATATACAGAGGAAGCAAGATCAATATTTTAAAAATTCCAGCATTCTACTTCAAACCTTTTAAAAAACTGTTTTAAATTTTTACAGCATTTCAATACAATTCCAGAAATCAGGAGCTCAAAAGCAAGATAAAGTCCACTTCATTGTAATTTCTCCATAAAAACCAAATAAGGATATTGCAACAAGTTAACCATTGTCTGCCACGTTAAAGAAAGATTAAAACTAGTTCAGTAACAGCTTTTCCCAACAATATTAGATAAGAAAATATATTAAACGCTTAAACCAAAAAAAGAAAAGAAGGATATAAGTCAAGTCAGTGCTATTGCTTATTTGAAAGAACAAAGAGTTAGGGACTTTATACAGTCATGCTACAAAGTTCACACCTTTAGGAAATCACACTGGGAGTACACAACATAAGCTAACATCATACAGTTTAGTAGTGGTTAGTTAAAAAAAAATCAGATCATATTCATATCCTGTACATTCTTGATCCTTTTGAAAGAGATACCACGCATTAATATTAATAACTCGACTAATAATCCAACATCTCCCCACATTGCTTTACAAGTATGCCTTTGTTCTGTTCTTGAGTGTGTCCTTAGCTGTATTCATTTCCATGATCCACAAGCTTTGGACCAGTACTGTCCAGCCCACATAAACAAAATTAAACCGAACATTTGGATTTAATACTGTTCCTTGGTTTCTGCAAGACCATACACAATGTACTTGTACTTGTGTGCCTTAACTAAAGATGTTTAATAGATGGGTGGGGAGAAGAGAAATAAGACGAGAAAGTCAGCAGTTCACTCTCACGTTACAGGTTTGTCTCAGGGCAAGAACTGGTATATCTTAAACAAAGACATTTATACGTCAGCCACCACATTTTCCCACCACTGTACTCAAGTACTACAAAACAAATAATAGGTTTGTCATATGTCCTCTCATCTCATTATGTACATCATGGGTGATTACATCTGAAAGGGTCTATTCACCATATTCCCTTCTCTAATGCCTCATGTTATAATCAAAAGTGTCCAATAGGAACCATTTCTGCTCTCTTCTTTGAACTATGGGAAAGCTGTCCTTTTGAGAAGGCAGTGGAAAAATAATACATTCAGTTTTTAATGTGTTATAGACAAATGTACACAAGCAGGTGGCATTACAGAAGCTTCAGCATAGATAATATGGACATGAAGAAAAACAGTATATCCCTTGGTTGGCCCCTCTTCCTTTTTCCTTCCACTTCTCCCAGCATCCACAGGCTCCAGCCCCCACTCCTCACCCCCAGATACCTGAAACGGAATTATAATGAATCCCGTATTTTGATTATACTTGGGCAGGAGTATACTATATAATCGCACTTGCAGATCTAGAGAGGCCCACAAATGATTCTACGACTGTTTTGTTAATCTTATGTTTATGTTGTTTACTCTGTATGTATTGTTGATGTTACTTGGAAACCGCTCTGAGTCCCCTCGGGGAGATGGAGCGGTATATAAAATTATTATTATTATTATTAACTAGCCGTCCCCTGCCACATGTTGCTGTGGCCCAGTCTGGTGATCTGGAAAATAAAATAATGGTTTCTAATCTATGTAATCTCTTTATGCTTGTGGGTAAACAGTATTTCTTGTTGTTTCTTTGTCAGTGTTGATGTGGAGAGTGTCTGGTTTGCCTACTCTGGAATATGCAACATATCATTGTCCTTCTTTAGGAGTCCTTTACAAATCTATATTATATCTCTGTGTGTGTGAATCATATATATCTATCTATATCTATGGCTGGATGGCTCTTTGTCAGGAGGGCTTTGATTTTCTTGCCCTGGTAAAGAGAGTTGGAATGGATGGCCTTAAGTATTTTCTGTTGGTCATGGGGGTTCTGTGTGGGAAATTTTCCCGATTTCTGTCGTTTGTGGAGTTCAGAATGCTCTTTGATTGTAGGTGAACTATAAATCCCAGCAACTACAACTCCCAAATGTCAAGGTCTAATTCCCCCAAACTCCATCTGTGTTCATATTTGGGCATATGGAATATTTGTGCCAAGTTTGGTCCAGATCTGTCATTGTTTGAGTCCACAGTGCTTTCTGGATGTAAGTGAACTACAACTCCTGAACTCAAGGTCAATGCCCACCAAACCCTTCTAGTGTTTCTGTTGCTCATGGGAGTTCAGTGTGCCAAGTTTGGTACAATTCCATCATTGGTGGAGTTCAGAATGCTCTTTGATTGTACGTGAACTATAAATCCCAAGAACTACAACTCCTAAATGACAAAATCAAATTTTTTTGAATGAAGGACATACATTGGGTTGTTAGGTGTATGCTGTCCAAATTTGGTGTCAATTCGCCCACTGGTTTTTGAGTTCTGTTAATCCCACAAATGAACATTACATTTTTATTTATATAAATCTTTTTTGAAGTGGGGTAAAGTAAAACTGTGGCTACTGAATCCATAGATTAGGGCAGGGGTCCACAAACTTTTTAAACAGAGGGCCAGGTCATAGTCCCTCAAATTGTTGGAGGGCCGGATTATAATTTGAAAAAAAATGAACGAATTCCTATGCACAATAGAAAAATACAATAATTATAATGAAGAACAATTTTAACAAATATAAACTTATTAGTATTCCAATAGGAGCCCCCGGTGGCGCAGTGGGTTAAACCCCTGTGCCGACAGGACTGAAGACCGACAGGTCACAGGTTCAAATCTGGGGAGAGGCGGATGAGCTCCCTCTATCAGATCCAGCTCCTCATGCGGGACATGAGAGAAGCCTCCCACAAGGATGATAAAAACATCAAATCATCCAGGCGTCCCCTGGGCAACGTCCTTGCAGACGGCCAATTCTCTCACACCAGAAGCGACTTGCAGTTTCTCAAGTCATTCCTGACACGCCAAAAAAAAAGTATTTCAATGGGAACTGTGGGCCTGCTTTTGGCTGAGATAGGATTTGGCTGATGAGATAGGATAGAACAGTCATATTACTGTTCTAAGAATAAGGGCTCAATCCCATATTTATCAGCATAACTAACAGTGATACTAAGCGTATTTTCTACGCTACCTTAGGGAAGCCATTCTGCATAGCGTTAGATACACCACCATGGAAGTAAATAAAACTGGTCTTAAATGGCTGAAGACAACAGCTGTCTTACAAAAATTCTTGCTGACTCTCAAATTAAATAAGATTACCTGTGGTGAAAGGATTTCCTACATTTCAGTGAGGGGCATAAATGGATGGTGGATTGAAATGCACACACAGTGTAACACCGGAGATAAGAGTTCTCCAGCTACATGTCAGGCATTCACTTGCCTCAGCACTATTACTTCTGATGAGCAGGGATGAAACTATAGTCATATTCCATGCAATTTAAAGCTTCATCTTAGGATATTTTTGCAACAGACACATGTGTTCAGTGATATTTGCAACATCCACAACTCCTGCACTTAGAGCGAGAGAACAGATCTAATAGTAACAGACTTTTAATTACAGAGAGTGCCCTTATCAAGAATCACTACTAGTATCAGCTGATAGAAATGGAAAGAAACTAAGAATAAAAGTAGTTATGGAAAGTTAGCTTTGTATCCCATCATTAGAACTTTGAACAGTATCATGAGGCATGTAGGGCAGTAATAAATAATTTCTGCTAGGATATTAATTGTGACTAAGAGCCATTGCTTATTTAATACAAATGCTCAACACAAAAGGCTGTCATATATACACAACTTTAATGGAAAGCAATAATAAAATCCCCAAAGATCAAAAAGGCTCAGCATATCCCTGCAATTTTTAAATCATTGGGGCAGGGGGGGAGGGGAGGGTAGGGTAGGGGAGAGAAAAAGGGAGAACTTAGTAAAATATACCCATCAACTCCAGTTGTGAGTCTTCCTAGAACAAGTTGAAAAGAAGTAGTGACACTGTCTCAACACAGTTTTGTTCTGAACTTTAGAAGAGAGGAAAGACTATAATCTTGCTCCATTTTTTCATGTGGCTCACATGTTTTTAAACTCTCAAGATTTCCAGACAGTTGTTGTAACAGATAGCTATCCAGTCCGGCTGAGTGGATGCCCACTGTACATTGTTGATTTCTCCTTCTGCTGTGTAAGCCAAAATTGGGTCCTCAATGGCACGAGGCATTTGCTGGATATCCCAAATAAGTGCTTGATGGTCATCCGCTGCCCAAATTAAAATACAGGGTTAGAGCTAAGGAAACAGTTTTTACACAGATGTTTAGCAGTCCCTACAGTCAAAGTACAACAAATAAGAATGTACAAACAGATCAAAAATTAATCCTCAGCTAAGTTACTAGTTTCGCTAGTGTTTTTTGGGGGGGAGGGGGGGTATGGGGTGGAATCACAAGGAACAGCAAGAATTAGATTGCTAAGGAACAACTATCCATGTCACGATGCAATGTGATTTTTGTTCCTGGGTTATAAGTGTCATTTTTTAATTTGTTCTATCATAAAAATGTGAGAAAAGTTTATTAAACTGCAAAAACTTTGCTTTTGTGAGACATCTTGCAGCACATTTTGTTAGAGGTTTAGGACAGCTGGTAAATCATCAGCAATTATAAGATCTATCAACCAAAAGGTTGCAAGTTCGAAGCCCCGGGTTGGCGTGAGCGGCCAACTGTCAACCCTAACTCATTGTTTACCTAAGCCAGGGGTCCTCAAACCTTTTCAACAGAGGGCCAGGTCACAGTCCCTCAAACTGTTGGAGGGCCAGATTATAATTTGGAAAAAAAAAGAATGAATTCTTATGCACACTGGACATATCTTATTTGTAGTTCAAAAAACACTTAATGCTGGGTGACCAAAAGGAAGGAGGAAGTCCGGACAGCTCTTCGTCACAGAAGATGGGGCAACAGGACCCCCTGGACTCAAGCCCAACCTTCCATGGCACCTCCTTGTATTCTGTTTATCTGTGTATTGTCTATACGAAGCGGCACTGAATGTTTGCTGTGTATGTGTGCTGCGATCCGCCCTGAGTCCCCTTCAGGGTGAGAAGGGTGGAATATAAATAGTGTTGTTGTTGTTATTATTATTACTATTATTATTATTATTATTATAGTTTTTCAATGAATATCTCACAGTCTCAAACAATTCACCAATATTTGTGGTAGTCACAAAAAAGTTTCTGGAGTATAAACAGAAAATAACACTTTCAAACCAGGAAGAGAACATTTTTCAAATTGTTACATTATTATTATATAATTAATTATATTATATAATAATATTAATATAAAATATTACATTATACAATTTACAATTGTAGCAACTGTCCTTTTAGGGAAATTTTTGATATTAAATTTGTGCTACTGTATCTCCTGAAAATTATTATTACACATCTATCGATTTATTATATTTAGGAGTAGACCTAGTCATACATCCAGTTATTTTGAAACCCAAAATGTATGTCTGTACCCCTTAAAGTTTGGAATATTAGGATTAGTTAAAATGAAATTAATTTAGCCAATTTCTATATAACATCACACTTTCACAAAATGCACTTTATTATCATTTTTCCTATTACTTCAAAAATGTTAATTATAACTGATATACTTTGGGGACAAATTAATTTCTATACTATGGGCAAAGTAAATGAAAGTCAAAAGCATAATCTTGATAGTTGAAAACAAAAGATAAAGCAAATATAACATACAAACCAAGAAAACTATAGCTAAGTAAAATGCATAACCTGGACTGCACTCTCATATCTCACATAACTATAAATGACTTTTATGGAATGTCTGAACTAATATGCATTGGATTGGGTGGTGCGATCTAATTCTGTTTAATATTCTGGGTAACCTGCTCTTATTTAGGCAACAACAGTTTTGAAAAACATCAAACAATCCAGGTTTGGATGCAACAAGAATAAATTCATGTTTACCTGCTGTGCAGATATGACAAGAAGAGTGTGGTGCCCAAGCAATGCCATTCACACATGCTCTGTGGTTGTTCAGTCTAGCAACAGGTGTACAAGGAACTCTGACATCCAGAATCACAACCTTGGAAGAAGAAACATACAATATAAAGAATAATATTAGAAAAAATATAGTTTAATCCCCTCTGAAATTAAAGTATTCTTAAAGAATCCCATTATTTCAAGAGACTACACCCTTTTCATGTACACTTTGCCTTTAATAGGCAACATAAAAATGACAGCATTTTATTTATTTATTTATTTACTGTATTTATATACTGCCTTTCTCAGCCAATCGGCGACTATTATTTATTTGTTTGTTTACAGCATTTTTACCCCACCCTTCCCAACCCCCGGGGGGGGGGGACGACTCAGAGTGGCTAACAATTCGATGCCACAATCAATAACACAGTATAAAACCATAAATACATACAGAGTTAAAACAGTAGCAATTAATTATAACCAAATTATCATAACAGTCATTAAAAACAATACTCAGTCCACAAACCCACTGAGAACCATAAAACCGTATCCTCATACATATCGTCTTGCCAATCCATTTCCAGTCAAAGTGCTGCTTTATGTTTATTGTCCGAAAGCCTGGTCCCAAAACCAAGATTTTAATTTCTTCCTGAACGCCAGGAGGGATGGGGTCGATCGTATTTCATTTGGAAGCATGTTCGACAGGCGGGGGGCTACAGCCCAGGAGGCCCTGTCCCTCGTCCCCACCAGCCGCGTTTGCGATGTTGGCGGGAGCGAGAGCAGAGCCTCCCCGGATGATGACAATCTTGAACCTCTGTTTTACTTTAGTTAACTATTGCAGGTTATGCATTGGTACACTTTCTCGTTTTAGAAGTGGAAAAATTAACACAAAATGCTATTACTTTGAAACAGTACTTTTATTTTATTAGGAGACTGTAATGCAACAAAATTAGGTCATATCAAGAAAATTAATAAGATGGGATGGACAATATTCACAATCAAAATGACAGTAAAACAATAAATGGAAGGATGCCATAAGGGTAATGATTTCCTCCCAACATGCTCATGCTATTGCCAGCATTCCAGTACAGCTGTTATCCTTTATTTAATATAAAGCAAACGAAGGAATTTGTTTTGCTCTCCAGATGTTCTGGATTACAAACAACATAATCCCTTAACCACTGACTATTCAGTCTGGGCCTAATGAAGTTGTAGGCAAACTTGGTATCTGTTGGGCAACACTCAAAATATAAGCACATATATCTGATCCCATGCTACAGTGTGTAGGCAAGATGGCTATAAAGAATCTGGGAAGAAAAAAAATGAAATCCTTATATATAGCAAAACCACTATCTACTACGATCTATTAGTATAGAGCAGGGGTCCTCAAACTTTGTAAATAGAGGGCCAGGTCACAGTCCCTCAAACTGTTGGAGGGCTAGATTATTATTTGAAAAAAAAAATGAATGAATTTCTATGCACACTACACATATCTTATTTGTACACTGCACGTCTCCTATTTGTAGTGTAAAAACACAATTAAAATGAAGAACAATTTTAACAAAATATAAACTTATTAGTATTTCAATGGGAAGTGTGGGCCTGCTTTTGGCTGATGAGATAGGATTGTTGTTTGCTTTCAAGACTTATGCTGACCTGACTTAGGGTGACCCTGAGCGAGGGCCGGTAAATGACCTTGGAGGGCCATATCCGGCCCCCGGGCCTTAGTTTGAGGACCCCTGGTATAGAGTGTCAGTACTGTCCATGCACAAACCACACTGGACACCCACACAGAGCAGTCTCACCTCCATGCCATCCATTGCCATTGTTGCAAGATAATTGGGGTCCTGCTTATTCCAGCAAAGGCGGAGCAAAGGATGGTGCTGGGGATCTTCGTAGATAATAGTGCTGTGTTCCAAGTGACGCAGGTCAAACATTCTTACTGAGCCATCAGCACCAACAGATGCAAACATGTCTCTCCCACCTCCTGCACGGCTGAATGCAATATCATATACCTACTCAGGCAGGGGACAAAAAGACAATACAATGATGTTGCCTTCCATACCAGGTTTTTTTTTTTGCTTCACACTAGTTTTTGTGTAAAGACAAAAATACAGCAGAGGTATGTAAAAACAATCTTGCTTTAGATCACAAGACTCAAGGGGCCAAATACAGCCTGCCAAGTTGAGGACTATAACTTCTGTGTTCCTCATCATTAGACATCATGACTCAAGCTGATGGGAAATGTGATACATAATAACATCTGAAAGGCTGCAGTTTTTTATGTTTATCAGGATAGTGGGGTTTGAATTTTTGTGGATAAAAGATTGGTTTTTCTTCTTTCAATTGCGTGATAGATTTAGGAAGGACGTAAAGATAGGAATTGCCTCTAAAAATCAGAGTTAGAATTTTTCTTTGTGAAAGGCAACAAAGGCATAATATCCAGGCTCTACAAATATATCTTAGAATACAATTTAATAGACAACCAGATAAAAACTTATGATTACGTAGTTCAAAGGTTTAGGCAAAAATACTGATTTGGAAGAATGGGAACATTTTTTTTAATTTTTAATTTTTTTTATTTCATACATCCCAACAATCAACAAAATTTTGCCATACAGGACTTATTTCAATATACATTATTCCAAAAGTAAATATTCCTTAAATGACATTTTATACAAAATATTTTATAAAATATAGAATAGGAACATTTGTGGAAAAAAGGGTTTAAATTTTCAGTGGCCAGCTCAATGTTTAAAATGTTTTATAGAACTTACATAACTCCAGATTTATTGGCCAAAATAGAGAAAACAGGACAAGGGACTTTCTGGAGATGTAAGAAGGCGGAGGGATCATTTTTCCATGTATGGTGGACTTGTAATATAGTTAAAGAATTTTGGGAAAAAGTGGTGAAAGAAACAAACAATATGATTAACAAAAAGGTCAAGAAAAATCCAGAAATGTGCCTATTAGGACTATTTAGAATGTGTATCAGTGCAGGAGATGAAGAAATTTGTCAATATTGCTTTGTTGCTGCAAGACTAATAATAGCCAAAACTTGGAAAGGGGAAAAAGAGTTATATATTAAAGATTGGGGAGATAGATTATATAGATTATATCAAAATGGTCAAACTGACAAATAGCAGCAGAGGAGTATTTGGAAAAGAAGACAAAAGTAAACGTGAAGATTGCCATAAAGGGGATTCAGTGAAAGAAGATATATGGGTAGTTGCTGCTTAGTTATGTGATCCTTTTTTGAGGGGCTTCGGAAGTTATGGGGTGGGGTTCACGGGTGGGGGGATAGAGGGTTGGGAAATGTTAAGGTAAGCCAAGTCTGATTGTTTGTATGTTTAACAAGCATTGAATGTACACCATTTTGTAAATCTTTTGCATATTTTTTTCTTTTGTTTATTTGTTTTGTTTCCTATATACACTATAAAACAATAAAAAAATTTTTTAAAGGATAGTGGTGTTTGAATTTAGATACAGGGCTTGTGGATATGATGTCTGATTTTAAAATGTCCTTTAACCTTTCCCCAACCTCAGAGCCAAAAGTGTTGGATTGCAATTCCCATTATCCCCAGTCCACATGCTGAATAATCAAAGGTGATGGGAGTTGCCATTCAATAACATCTGGGGACCCAAATTGGATAAAAACAAAAGAACACAAACTGCTATATTAAAAATATAGTTGGCCCACTGTATCCACAGTTTCTCCATTCATGGAGTCAGTGGCCCTTTGAAGGCAATCAGAAGGCAATCTCAATGAAAATGAGTTTGACACCCCTGCTTTAGATAAAGAAGATATCTATAAATTGTGGAAGTTGACATGGACCTCTCTCATAGGACTATTTTGTGTTACTTCATTGTATTCGTTCCCTATAACCCATGAATCAGTACAAGGAAGAAAAATAGACTTATTTCTGGAGCACTAACAATGTCCTCAAAACAGTCAATGACAGGTCAATCAATACCCCACCCCACCCCTCACTCCCATTTTATAGACTGTAACACATTTCACAAGATTCACAAGTGCGATATCTCCCAGTGAAGAAAGCAAGAGAAAAAAATGCACAATCACCTCTTTATCATGAGCAATCAGCTGGGTCTTGACATGGCCTGATACCAAATTCACTCTTCCCAAGACCTGACCAGTCTCCAAACCCCAGATGGTGCATGTTGTGTCGATACTAGAGGTACCTAAGGCAAGAACAACAGCAAACCCAATTGATATTAAGAACTCTGCTTGGCTTCACGGCATATATCATCACAGCAAAATAGTTTAGCTGCTGCAGATATGGTCAAATAACTAGTATGTCAGTCACATAAGAGGCTGAATTTACAAGTGGGAAAATAAATAAAAGTTTGGAGAGATTCATATGAATTTCTTTGTATTCTCATTTGCTTCATTTATTTTCTGTTTATGTATTTGGGACATACAGGAAGCAAGAGGCAGTCATTACATGTAGGGATAGGTCAACACAAAGAATTCCTTTTTGGACAATATAATTCAACAACAGAGCCCAACACAGCCAAGCCTTTTAACCTGCATGCAACATGAGTATGCCAGTTTGCCTGCTTTGAGTGTCTATGCAATAGTAAATTAGAGTCCCTGTTCAACTGAACTAATATAAAAACTTTCACCATATACTAGATGCTAAGCCAACTTATTATTTATTAAATAAGTAAATGAAGTAAGTCAAGAACTGTCTTTCAGCGTCAAGGGGATGTTTATTGTTTGGAAAGTACTAGTTCAAAGAACTAGAGCAATCTCTTCCAAGTCTATATGCGATTCCTTGAATCGAGAAGAAATGACAGCCAAATGACCTTGAAACAGTAGCTATTTTATCACCTTTCAGCTATATCCAGGCTGGCAAATATTAACTACATTGAACCAGTCTCCCAACAGCATTCTGCACAATTAGTGTTTCAATCTTACCCAGTAGATAGGGATCAACCTCATTCCAATCAAAGGATGTCAATGGAGCACAGAAGTCAGAATTCTTATTGTTGTTCAACAAACACTCTAGTCTCGTCTCTGTTTCACCCACCTGTAGCAAGAGATGCAAATATATAATTTTATCACAACAGCAAATCTACTTGCCTGATGAAAATACTGGTAGTGTGAACACTCAAGTGCATAGTTTAGGAGATACTCTGAAATTTTTCTACCAGAAAAGGCAAGATAACAGACAATAAATCATTATTACTAATAATATTACAATATGATGGTATAGTACAATATAGTAATATATAATACTGATATTGTATTATGCTTTAGTGTGTGTATGTATGTGTATGTGTATGTGTATGTGTATGTGTCTGTCTGTCTGTCTGTCTGTCTGTCTGTCTATCTATCTATCTATCTATCTATCTATCTATCTATCTATCTATCTATCTATCTTGTAAGCTGCTCTGAGTCCCCTTCGGGGTGAGAAGGGAGGCATATAATTTTCTTATTGTGGGCACTATCCTGTGCCGGTTGTTAGCCGCCCTAAGTCCTTCAGTGGAGGTGAGATAGGACGGGATATAAATGCCCTAAATACAATTTAAAAATTCCTTAACTACTTTGCCCAAAGTAGTCCTTCAACAGAAACTGCAACATCAATATTATTGTATTTGTTGTTGGCAGGCAAATATCATGTTTGTCTGCCATTTGTAATATTTCCAGCCTCCATTGGTGGTTCTAAGCCACCACAGAAAATGCATTCTGAACAGCCAACTTACTCTCCATACGCGCAAGTAGTCACCACTGGTTGCCAAAAGGTCTGGATAAACTCCTTTGGTATCTGGGATCCACATGAGCTTGGTAGTGGGATATGGATGATCAAAGGTATTCCTGCACATGAACTCTGAGCTTTCTTCATCCAATCCAACAAGTTGGACCTAGAAGAAAAGATTCAAGAGTCAAGCAGACCACCTATTTGATGATGCTATTAAGGATATTTGCAGAAAACACATTAAAACCAAATATCATTGCTTGGTTATGTGGGATGTTCCACATACATTTATCATACCAAGTTTACCACTACTGAAATGTAAATTGATGTGCATTTATGCACATGCATACACATACACACACAAATCAGTCTGTATTTGCATATTTATAATACATATATATATGTTTGTGTGTGTACACAAACACACATATCTATTCTTCTTATTCTTTCCCAATGACCAAAGACCTTATATTTGCAGAAAAAGCACTAAGTGTAGGTCATTCCCATCAGCTTTTTTTTTTTAAAGCTTTAGGCCAGGGGTCCTCAAATTAAGGCCCGTGGCCGGATACGGCCCTCCAAGGTCATTTACCCGGCCCTTACTCAGGGTCAACCTAAGTCTGAAATGACTTGAAAGCACACAACAACAACAATCCTAGCTCATCAGGCCCACACTTCCCATTGAAATACTAATAACTTTATATTTATTAAAAAAATCTTCATTTTAATTATTGTATTATTTTTAAATGTTTTTTTGTGCTACAAATAAGATATGTGCAGTGTGCATAGGAATTCATATATGTTTTTTTCAAATTATAATCCAGCTCTCCAATAGTTTGAGGGACTGTGACCTGGCCCTTTGTTTAAAAAGTTTGAGGATCCCTGCTTTAGGCCATAAGGTATATTTTAAAGTACAAAAGCATGTTTACAGAGTTCCTGATGCTATTGCTATTGGCTTCTTATCCTTTTCCTGTGCCTTCCCCAGAACCTCTTCCCAAACCTAAGGAAAAACTGAGCAGAATTGTAGTGCAATGTCTTTATGGACAGAAAATTGTGATTGAGGAATGGGGAGGAGTTCTGTCCAAGGTAGTTAGAAGACACTGCTTGCATTTGTGTTTCAGAGCTACTTGTCACATAAATCTTTACCCTATTATTTCCAAATCTTTCTATTTATCTCATTAAGACCTATCTTATATTCATACTAGCTGTACCCGCCACGCGTTGCTGTGGCCAACCTTCCCCCTATCTCCCCTTCTTTCCCTCCTTCCTTCACTCCCTGTTTCCTTCCTTCCTTCCCGTCTTTCCTTCTCTCCTTCCTTCCTTCTCTATCGCTTTCCTTCCTTCCCCCTTTTTCTTTCTCTTCTGCTGTGTCTCTTTTCTTCCTTCTCTCTTTCCTCCTTTCTTTCCCTCCCTCTTTCTCTACATTTTATCCCCTTCCTTCGCTCCCTCTTTCCTTCCTTCTTCCTTTTTCTCTTCTGCAGTCTCTCTTTTCTTCCTTCTCTCTTTCCATCTTTCCTTCCCTCCCTCTTTCTCTACATCTTCCCCCCTTCCTTCGCTCCTTCTTTCCTTCCTTCTTTCCCTTTTTTCTTTCCTTCTCTCCTTCCTTCTTTCTAACTTTCCTTCCTCCTCCTTTTTCTTTCCCTCCCTCTTTCTCTCCTTTCTTCCTTTTCTACCTCATTCCTTCCTTCCTTCTCCTTCTCTCTGCCCCGGAGTGTGGTGGAGGCTCCTTCTTTGGAAGCTTTTAAACAGGGGCTGGATAGCCATTTGTCAGGGGTGATTTGAATGCAATATTCCTGCTTGTTGGCAGAATGGGGTTGGACTGGATGGCCCATGAGGTCTCTTCCAACTCTTTGATTCTAATATATGATTCTTCCTTGACAGATTAGAAGGGGGCGTGGCTTGGAGGTAACGTGAGGAGGGTAGAGGGGAGGGGAGGGGGGATGGGTTTAGAAGGGGGCGTGGCTTGGAGGGAACGTGAGGAGGGAGGAGGGGAGGGGGGATGGGTTTAGAAGGGGGCGCGGCTTGGAGGTAACGTGAGGAGGGTAGAGGGAGGGGGGATGGGTTTAGAAGGGGGCGTGGCTTGGAGGTAACGTGAGGAGGGAGGAGGGATGGGTTTAGAAGGGGCGTGGCTTGGGGGTAAGGTGGGAGGAGGGGGGGGGGTGGGGGGCGCGTGTGACCGGAGGGGGGAGAGGGGGCGCGCGCGCGCGCGTGTGCCGCGCGGGGGGGTGTGAGGGGGCACGGCGCGCATGTGTGCGTGTGTGCCGCGCCGGGGGGGTGAGGGGGCGCGTGCGCGCGTGTGTGTGCATGTGTGTGTGTGCCGCGCCGGAGGGGGGAGAGGGGGCGCGTGCGCGCGTGTGTGTGCGTGTGCCGGAGGGGGGAGAGGGGGCGCGTGCGCGCGCGTGTGTGCCGCGCCGGGTGGGAGAGGGGGCACGCGTGTGTGTGTGTGTGCCGCGCCGGGGGGGGAGGGGCCGTGCGCGCGCGTGTGTGTGCCGCGCCGGGGGGGAGGGTGAGGGGCCATGTGTGTGCGCGCGCCAGGGAGTTTGCGCCAGTGCGCATGCTCAGTTGCTTTGCCGTTTATTGTGGTTGTTGTTGTGTGTTTTTGATTTCTGAGTGGATTAGTTTGTACCTTGTTGGTTGCCCTTGGGGCATGGGAAGTTTGGTGGCGTTTCGTTGGGGGGTTTTTGAGTTTTGTTTCCTCATACGACGCCAGGAGGAAATTTATATATATAGATATATGCATCCATGCATCTATATACTCGAGTATAAGCCGGCCCGAATATAAGCCGAGGCACCTAATTTTACCACAAAAATCTGGGAAAACTTATTGACTCGAGTATAATGGGAAAATTGCCTCTTTTCTATTGTATCTTAAAAGAGAAGACCCAGGGGAATGGGCCGTTTTTGAGGGGAAGAATCAGGACTTAAAAGCCAAGTGTCACATATGTAACACTTCCCATTGAGGGATCTCGACACAATGGTGTTGGAGTGTATCTCACCTCGGAGTCTGAGATCTTCTGGGGAGGCCCTGCTCTCGACCCCACCTCTATCACAAGTGAGATTGGTGGCAACGAGAAGCAGGGCCTTCTCAGCAGTGGCCCCTCACCTGTGGAATTCACTCCCCGGGGAAATTAGGTCATCGACATCCCTCCTCTCCTTCAGAAGGAAATTAAAAACATGGTTGTGGGACCAGGCTTTCGGGCAATCTGGCAGTTAGACAAGGACAATGATGACTAGACAATATGGAATGAATTTATGGACTCTGAGATGGTGAACGCTGAATATTGATTGGTTTTATTGATTTTTATTGATTTTGTTGTATAAAGTGACTGTTTAATTGTTATAATTGCTGTATACATGTTTTATCCATTGTTTATGTTTATGCTGGCATCGAATTGTGCCTTTTGTAAGCCGCCCTGAGTCCCCCCTCGGGGGTTGAGAAGGGTGGGGTAGAAATGCGCGAAATAAATAAATAAATAAGCCGAGGGTGGGAAATGCAGTAGCTACGGGTCAATTTCAAAATAATAAAAATAGATACCAATAATTACATCAATTGAAGCATCAGTAGGTTAAATGTTTATTAATATTTACATAAAACTGTAATATAAGACTGTCCAATTCTGACTAAACCATTATTCTAACCTTCTTCAATGAACATGTGTTTACGTATCCTTCCAATAATAATAGAGTAAAATAATAAATGTAATAATAATAAAAATAATAAAGTTAACTATAAATGTAATAATAGTAATAATAATAAATAATAATAATAATAATAATAATAGAGTAAAATAATAAATAACCTTGAGTTGAGTATAAGCCAAGGGGAGCTTTTTCAGCCTAAAAAAAGGGCTGAAAAACTAGGCTTATACTCGAATATATACAGTATATCTGAAAACATTTCACCCTCTGCACCAGTTCAACAACTTTTTACTCTCATAGAACACATAATCATGACCTCCACCCCTGACAATAAACTATATAATTAAAGGATTCAACTATACTGTTTGCTTGCAAAATTCAGAGTTAATGAAATACAAGCACTGAGGAAAAATTAAAACAAGTTGCCTTAGTGCAAGGCAGGCAAACTAGATCTTTCTTTTAAAACAGAGTGTAAGTGAAGGGAATTTGGTGCTCTTGAAGTTCCCTGTGCAGTGATGTGAGGATAAAGAAGCTCAGCTTCACTTCTGCTTCCATTTACTGGAACAACTACAGTGCTTGCTTCTAAGTAAGCATGGCTGGTGACAATGTAATACGGGAAAATCTTAGCATCCATTTTAAGAAAAGTCAATGCAACATTTTAAAGAAATTGTGGTGTATTCCCAGCTGGCAGATTGATGGTATGTGCCTTAAGCATAATTGGCATATTGGTGAGAAATCAAAGTTCCTGAAATCAGCAGCAACCATCACAAACAGAAGGAATGAGACAAGAATGCAACTCTTACCACTCAAAAAGATAGAGCAGGGGTCCTCAAACTTTTTAAACAGAGGGCCAGGTCACAGTCCCTCAAACGGTTGGAGGGCTGGATTATAATTTGAAAAAAAATATGAATGAATTCCTATGCACACTGCACATATCTTATTTGTAGTTCAAAAAAACCTTAAAAACAATACAATAATTAAAATGAAGAACAATTTTAACAAATATAAACTTATTAATATTTCAATGGGAAGTGTGGGCCTGCTTTTGGCTGATGAGATAGGATTGTTGTTGTTGTGTGCTTTCAAGTCGTTTCAGACTTAGGTTGACCCTGAGCGAGGGCCGGGTAAATGACCTTGGAGGGCCATATCCGGCCCCCAGGCCATAGTTTGAGGACCCCTGAAATAGAGAGTGTAAAGGAGAGCAGAAAGCCCAGTGCAGAGTCAATTCAGAAATGACAGAAACAGAGGGGTGTTCAAAATCATATCAAGCATCCTCTGAGGACTTACAAGAAGAACCTACAATCTGGATTTATTTTATTTCATATCAAAAGCATTGCATAAATTAGTATAAAACCGATAAAAATAGAAGGAGCGCAGGTGGCTAAATATCTTTTGACCAAAAACGGGCAACAGCAATGGCATTGTCTGTAGCCTCCAACAATTCTTCCTCTGTACATGAGGCAGGGCATAGTGGACAAGCATACAGATGCAGAGTTGTCTGTTCTGCTCCACAGTCACACAAGGTGTGGG